TTGTTCAATATCTTGCCACTAGAAACAGCTGCAAACACCCACTAAAATTGGAATGTGAAATGTGTGAAGTATGAATCTAGGAAAATTGGAAGTTATCAGAAATGAAATGGAACATATAAAGATCAACATCCTAGGCATTAGTGAGCTGAAATGGTCTGGTTTTGGCCATTTTGAATCAGACAATCACATGGGCTATTGTGTCGGCAATGACAAATTAAAGAGGAATGGCTTCACATTTATTATCACAATGAATATTTCAAGATCTGTGTTGAAGTACAATGCTGTCAGTGATAGAATGATAGCTATACACCTACAAGGAAGACCAGTTAATACAACTATTATCTAAATTTATGCATCAACTAATAAAGCAAAGATGAAAAAAATTGAAGATTTTTACCAGCTTCTGCAGTCTGAAATTGACCAAACATGCTACCAAGAAATATTGATAATTACTGGTGATTGGAATGCAAAAGTTGGAAACAAAGAAGAAGCATTGGTAGTTGGACAAGATGGCCTAGGTGATAGAAATGATGCCAGAGATCCCATGATAGAATTTTGTATGACCAACAGCTTATTCACTGCAAATATCTTTTTAAAACAACCTAAACAGTGACTGTATACATAGACATCACCAAATGGAATACACCGGAATCAAACTGTCTGTGGAAAGAGGTGATAGACAAGCTCAATATCTTCAGTCAGAACAATGCCAGGGACAGACTGTGGATCAGTCCATTAATTACTCATATGCAAATTTAAGTTGAAGTTGATAAAAATGAAAACAAGTCCATGAAAGCCAAAATATGGCCTTGAGTATATCGCACCTGAATTTAGAGACCATATGAAGAATAGATTTGATGCACTAAACACCAGTGACCAAAGACCAGGTGAGTTGTGGAATAACATCAAGAATATCATACATGAAGAAAGCAAAGGGCCATTAAAAATGTAAGAAAGGAAGAAAAGACCAAAATGAATGTAAGAAGAGACTCAGAAACTTGCTCTCTAAAGGAAAGTATCTAAAGAGAATGGAAGAAATGATGAAGTAAAAGATCTGAACAGAAGATTTCAAAGAGCAGCTCAGGAGGACAAAGTGAATTATTATAATGAAATGTGCAAAGACCTAGAGTTAGAAAACCAAAAGGGAAGAACATGCTCAGCATTTCTCAAGATGAAAGAACTGAAGAAACAATTCAACCCTTGAGCTGAAATATTGAAGGATTCTAATGGCCCATGGTAGGTACTCAAAATATGTTAGATCTGCCAATATTAGCTGACCTTTACTGAGTCTTTATCCTGTGTCAGGCACCATGTAAACTGCTTGATATTTTATTATTGCCTGAATTTATAGGTTAGGAATCTGGATATACAAGATACTTTCCTTTTTAAAAAATATTTCATTGTGATTTTGGAGAAAATTTATACAGCAAATTAGGTTCTATTTAACAATTTCTGCAGGTATTATTCAGTGACATTTGCTACACTTTCACAATGTGTTATCTTTCTCATTATTTCCCTTCTGGTTGTTCTGTTTCCCTTAATTTAGCTTCCTTATCCCACCTTATCTTCTCATCTTTGGTCTAAGGTAGATAGATGACTATTAAGGGCAGCACAGTATTCATGTGTGATATTATTTATTTTAAGAGCCACTCTATTCTTTTATCTTTTGGCTGATAGGTGACCTCCAGGAGCGTTTTGAGTTCCAAGTTTAAAGGGTGTACCAAGATAATAGTCTCAGGGGATTTTCCAATCTCTACCAGCCCAGTAAGTCTGGGTTTTCCCTTTTCTTTTTAGGAATTTGAGTTTTGTTCTACATTTTTTTTTTTTTTTTGTATTCTATCTGGGACCATTGATTATGTCATAACAGTCAGTAATGGTAGCTGATCACCAACTAGATCTTCTGCTCCCAAAGTATGAGGGACATGGTTCATGTAAATTATTCCTGTAACTAGTTTCATCTTTGAGTCTTTGGCTTCCTTCTTTCTGTTTTGCTCTAGACTAGTAGAGACCAAGAGTTGTACAGATGACTATCCAAGCTTTTATCCATTCACCAAACTAGGATGTAGAGCATTATGTTTCAGAGCTATGTTATGTCCTTTGAAAAGATGCATTTCTATCGTACTCAATAAATGAATTAACACAGGTGAAAAGAAAAAAAACAAACTCACTGCCGCAGAGTCAATTCGACTCACAACAACCCCTCCTTGGGTTTTGGAAGCAGTATCTCTATGGAAGTAGATTGACCAGTCTTCCTTCCAAGGAGTGGCTGGTGAGTTTGAACTGCCAACCTTCTGGTTAGCAGTCAGATGCCTTAGGCACTACGCTACCAGAGCTCCTAACACAGGTGAAGGCAGTGTCATTTAAAGATTTTCACAGTTCTTAGTTGTGGGGAAAAAAAAAATGAACTTATTGAAACTCAGGACTGGAACACAGAAAAACCAAAACTGTCCAGATTTTCTTTTGCATGTGTATATTGGTGCCCACTCCAAAGGTGATCCAACAAATGCAGAAACTATCAAATAGTATCACATAAAAGTAAAATTTTGCTAAAGATAATTAAAAAATGATCACAATAGTATATTGACAGGGAACCACAGAAATTCAAGTTGGATTCAGAAGAGGGTGTGGATATCATTGCTGATGTTAGATGGATCTTGGCCGTAAGCAAATAATATCAGAAAGACCTGTGTTTTATTGACTATGCAAAGGTATTCAACTGTGTGGATCATAACAAATTATGAGTAACATTGCAAAGGATGGGAATTCCAGAAAACTTAACTGTGCTCTTGAGAAACCTGTACATAGACCAAGAGGCAGTTGTCGAACAGAACAAGGGGATACGTCATGGTTTAAAATCAGGAAAGGTTTGTGTCAGGGTTGTGTCCTTTCACCATACTTATTCAATGTGTATGTTAAGCAAATAATCCATGGAGACAAATTTGGCATTAGGATTGGAAGAAGGCTCATGAACAACCTGCAATATGCAGATGACTGAATACTGTTTGCTGAAAATTAAGAAGACTTGAAGCATTTACTGATTGTGACAGTTGGAGTTGTGTGTCAACTAGGCTGGATCACGATTCAGAGTGGTTTGAGCAGTTGTGATGTGGTTATTCCCATGAGATTGGATATATATGCTTTGAGCAGTCAGTTGGTTGAAAGGGAGTTTCCTTAGGGTTATGGCCTGCTTCCAGTATGTGTATGGATGTCCTGGGAAAATTTGGGAAACTTCTTTGGATCTGGATCCTGTTGAGTTGCCTAAAATTGTCCTGTGAGCAAGCAATCCCCAATTTTGCCTGGTGATCTTATATTTGTCATCTGCCAAAGTCAACAGTCATTATACTACCTGCCAATCTTGAGTTCATCAGCCCCTGCAGCTGCATGAGTCAGGAAAACCCTCCAGTTTGATATTTGGTGTAGAAACTTGGGACTTGCCAGCCTCATAGGAGCTCTGGTAACATAGTGCCTAAGGCACTTGACTGCTAACCAGAAGGCAGGCAGTTCAAACCCATCAGCCACTCCTCAGAAGGAAGATGGGGCGATCTACTTCTGTAGTGATACTACCTCGGAAACCCAAGGAGGGGTTGCTATGAGTTGGGTCTGACTCGACGGCACATAACAACAACAACAACAACAACATAATTGTGTGAGCCATTTTCCTAAGATAAATTTTTTTCTCTCTGTATATATAAGCTTTATTGGTTTTGTTTCTCTAGAGAACCCAGCCTAATACCAGATGAAGGCTAGGGACTATGGACTTTAGTATGAATTGCACCTCAACATAAAGAAAACAAAATTCCTACCAGCTGGACCAATAAGAAACATCACAATAAATGGAGAAAAGACTGAAGTTGTCAAGAATTTCACTTTACTTACATCCATGGAATCAGCGATCAAGAAATCAAATAGTGTATTGCATTAGACAAATCTGCAAAAGACCTCTTTAAAATGTTAAAGAGCAAAGATGCCCCTTGGAAGACTAAGGTGTGCCTGACCCAAGGCAAGATATTTTCAACAGCCTCATATACATGTGAAAGCTGGACAATGATTAAAAAGACCACAGAATTGATTCATTTGAGTTGTGTTGGCAAAGAGTACTGAAAATACCATGGACTGCCAGAAGAACAAACCAATTTATCTTGGAAGAAGCACAGCCACAATGCTCCTTAGAAGTGAGACTGACCAGACTTTACATCCAGTATTTTGGACATGTTGTCAGAAGGCACCAGTCCCTGGTGAAGGATATCATGCTTGGTAAAGTAGGGGATCAGCAAAAAAGGAGACCCTCAAGGAGATGGATTGACACTGGCTGCAACGATGGGCATAAGCATAGCAAAGATTGTGAGGATGGTGCAAGACCAGGCAGTGTTTACTTCTCTTGTACACAGGGGTCGCTATGAGTCAGAACCTACTCGATATCACCTAACAACAACCACATATTTATAAAATTTATTAGTATTTGCAGATTCCTTTAGAATAAGTTTTTCCGAACTGACCAAGACTCTTAACTGTAGTATGTATTTTCTGAGATAAGCAGATTTTATTCTTTCTTTCTTTCATTTTTTTCTATTTCATTTTCTCTTTTAAATCTTTTAACTGAACTTCTTTCCTTTTTTCACTCACTCATTCATTTATTCACTCAAAGAAGTCCAGGTTCTTAGTGTTTAAACGTCATTCAAAATGGTGCCACGTCATCTGCCCGGGACAAGAACCGTGAGGTGTTGTCACTTTCTCCCTGCCAGCGTGGATCTCTAAGGAGCCCCGCCCTCAACTCCTCACCTGCTCCCTAGAAGACAGAGCCTAGGGCGCCGGTCCCCTCCCCTTTGCGTTAGGGCCGCCCCTCCCCTTCCTAATCCCGGTTGGCAGAGCTCAATTATTTGCATATTTCTACCTTTGTTCTCTCCGGCGGCCAATCAGCGCACGGGGCGAGGCAGTGTTGGGGGGGGAGTCCTGGGCGGGGCTCAGGCTCCGGCTCAGGCTGCGGTGGCGGCAGGTTCCAGAGCGGGTCGGAGCCGCCACGGGCGCGCTGCGCACTGCATTTCCAGCCTCAGCAATCGGCCTTGCGCCCCTATCCGCATCCGCACTGCTGCCTCGCCTGGGCCAGGCCCCCAGAGCAAAGACAAAGCAGCTGCCTGGGAGGTTCCTCAGGAGCTGAATTTACCTGCAGCTGCCGGGAACCACAGGCTCCAAGATGGTTTGCGGGGGCTTCGCGTGTTCCAAGAACTGCCTGTGCGCCCTCAACCTGCTCTACACGGTGAGTATCGCGAATCCGCCGCTTCCCCTCCTCGAGACTTTGCACCTGTTCAGAAGCTCCTGGCCTTCCCTGCGTGGTCCGCGACTCATTCGCTTCACCCAGCGCCCTTCTCCCGTCTTCCCACGCTCTGCGCGCTCCCAGCCTCTCCATCTGTCCCCTCTGAGACTGGGAACGGGCGCTTGTCGCAGTCTCTTCCTTTCTCTCATTGTGCAGCCGCCGTTTTTCTGGCTCCCTAGCCGCGTCTTTGCCACATTGCTCCGCCCCGCCCCCTCACCCACCGCCTTGTTTTTCAGTCATTTGACCAGACTTTGGCTTTCTCTCATCCTGGCCCCTTTTGTTGCTTGCACCTCGCTTCCAAACCCATCTTAGCTTGTTTAGGGGTGGTAGAGCTGCCTCGGGTTTGAGGACAGGTTTGCAGAATAGCGTGATCTGAAACCGACCATAAGGCATATGGATCGAGTCCATCTGGGTTGGATCTACGTGCTCTAGTGATTTTAATTGAGGCCACCAAGTAGGTTCAAAGGATATCCGCTGCTTCCTTAGTTTGTTTCGCGCTTACATAAAGAGATGTTTTATGTTTTGTCACTTATGCGCATACTTGATGCTTTCTCCATGTGTGTTCCCCCTTATTAATATCTTAACTCTTTTGCCAGCCTCCACCCAAAGTCGTTCCTTCCCAGCCAGCTTGCTTCTCTTTAATTGAACGCCGCAGGCTGTCTTTGTGATTTTTAAAGCGCAGATCTGGGTGAATCGGAGGGTGTGGAGGGCTGGTTGATAGTCACTGACTGTCTTTCACTTTCCAAGTTTTACATACATGATTTGAGTTCATCATTCTGACAACCTTCTGAGGAAAGGAGCATGGTCTAAATAGTATATATAAGGTAACCAATCAAAATGGGTTTTAATAAGTTTACATGGCTGGTAGCTGGCAAGTCAGGAGTGGAATCCAGATCTTTCTACAAGCAGCCTCTACAGGGCGGAAGAAACTTCTTCTGTCATCATCCCTCCATTGCTTATTCCCTTCTATAAATACACCTGGCCCTTTGCAGCACCCACCCTGAAAACAAACGAAGCTCCCCTGCATTAGCAGAGAGCTAGGCCATCTGTGCAAGCTTAGGTTACATCCGTTGGAATGGAGAGGCTGGGTCATTTTACCATTACTGTTCCTTTGTATGTGAACCTGCTTGCAAAGCTTTGAAGGCTTTTTGAAGAGTTATTCTTTTCCATCTGGTTAGCAGGAATCTAAACAACATGGTTACTAATGGTAGACTTGAGGAAAAAATTCTGGAACATCTGGTGATAGCATTTCTTGTAATTGGAGATCCCCATCAAGTTGCAGATTAAAATCCACCTTTGTCTCACTTGAGTCATGCTTGTCACACTGATTAAGTAAATGCTGACCAGTTCTCTGGGTATTTTCTCATATTAACATGAATGGCCTGGTCAGATTATCATATTCCCCGTTTTATGCCCTGTCTTCTGGGTTCTCCCCATTTTCCCTCTCAATGATTTACTCATCTTTTCCCAGGCACTTGAGGAGCTCTGGTGGTGCCGTGGTTAAGGCATTCCCGTGCTAACCAAATGGTTGGCGGTTCTTGGGAGAATGAGGCAGTCTGCTTCCATGAAGATTTATAGCCTTGGAAACCCTATAGGGCATTTCTGCTGTGCCCTATAGGGTTACTATGGGTTGGAATTGACTCAGTGGCAGTGGGTTTGGTTTTTTATTGTTTCAACAGACACTTAAACTTGCGTGTCTGTTTACATACAATAGAATAATTTGTAGCCTTACTTAACTAAAATGTCCACATAGATTAATGTGTAATACATATATTTTAAAGGCATGGTATTTTAAAATCTAGTTTTATTGCTTTCAAAACATCATTTCTAGTTGTATCTATTGTGTTTCAGGAAAGCAAGAAGAAGGAAAGGTGATTCTGATGGGACATATTGGGACTATTTAATAATCTATTCTAAATTATTGACCTTCAAAATGTATTCATTTTATTGAGTTTAACAGCTATGCAGTAAAACAATTAATTTGCGATTCATGAGGCTATAAAAATCATTCTCCCTTTTAAATCCTTGTCTTTTTAGATGCTATCCTAAAAGGAATTAGTAGCTACTTGCTTCTTAAACATTGTGAATAGGCTTAAAGAGGAATAGGCCTAGCAGTTTAAATTGGAGGCAAAACATGGATCATGTCTTAAATAGATGCTGGAAATGGCTATTCTTTTGATTTTGTATCTTCCCTGGTCATTCCTTCCACATTTTAAGGTGAAAATTATGAGGAGATGGCTGAATGCAGAGTCAAGGTCCAGGACTTTGGTGACACTTCTTAAAATTAGAACAAGAGGATTCCTTGATTCCACCTTGATCACTGCCTCTAAAATGGGTTCAAAGCTGTAGGATTAGGCCTGAGGTCATTTCTAAAAGTGTAAGTAAAGCAAAGATTGCATGTGGGAGTGGCAGGTATAAAGGGCATGACTTTTGCCTTAAAGATCATTACTGTTAAAGTCTTTCCCTGAGAAATTTAGGCTTTTACCAACTCAACTCACAACAGTTAGGTAGATAGCTAATGCGGCCAAGATTAGTGCTGGATTCTTGATCTTCCAAGAAACCATGTTGTCAAACCAGGTTGGAAGGAACATCACCAAACTTATCATGGACATTATCTCTAGGCCAGTTATTAACAGGTGATTTATTTGTTGTTTTATGGTTTGGTTGTTTTAATGAATAGGAACTCTAGAACTGAACTCTCTGGTAGCATAGTGCCTAAGATACTTGACTGCTAACCAGGAGGCTGGAAGTTCAAACTCACCAGCCACACCTCGAAGAAAGACTGGGCAATCTACTTCTATAGTGATACCGCCTCAGAAACCCAAGGAGGGGTCGCTATGTGTCAGGACCAACTCAATGGCAATGAGTTTGGGTTTACTGTGTGCAAGGCGATATTCTTGTGCCTGAGAATATAGCAGTGAACCAGACATTGCTTTAAAATCAATACGCCTTTTTGAAGCCTTTTTTCTTTAAAAGTTGTTTCCTTTTCTACATATCTCACAAGTTTCGTTTAGTCAGTAAGCATTTGCCTACAGTATGCACTCCCCTGAGAACTGAAGGAAAAAGTAAACATAAGCAAAGCCAAATACATACCCTATGAAGACAGCATTTGTTTGGGAGTCAAGAGGTGGGAACATTAAATTCTGTCTAAGGAAAGGACTGACCACAAGCATTATAGAATTTAGGACTGGGAGGGGCATTTGTGGGTTACAGAAGTTGAGGGAATGATGGAGGAGTCTTTGAATTGGGCAATGTAGAAATAACATGTGGGTCTTTTTTTTTTTTTTTTTTAGGATTTGGGTGAAGATTTACAGAGTAAATTCATTTTTCATACAGCAGTTCACATATACTTTGTCTCATGTCATTGACCAAAATTTACAATGCAGCAGCTCCCCTCCCACTTCCTCCCCATAGTTACCTCCTCCCAGTGTCCATCCCTTCATACTCTTCGAGAGGCCCATTTTCTGCCAACCCTGTATATGATCTTGGATACACTCTCCATTTAGACATACATAATTGTTTAGCTTTTTCACCCATCTATCCGTCCCTATACCCATATTTGCTTTCATTAACAACTCAGTATTGTATTTACAAAGGGGTTCATATTTGTTGTTTGTACTGCCCATGTAACTCTCTCTGTCTTTCTCATCCTCAATGCTGCCATATTGGTCACTCACATTTGGTACATTGCCCTTCTCTTCACCCAAATCAATATTTATCTCTATCTATCTAACAGCATTCCCTCCCCTTCCCTCCCACCCCTGGTAACCAACAAAGAAAATGTCCTCCAATATGTAAACATTTCCTTAACTTTTACAATAACGGACTAATACAATATTTGTCCTTTTGTGACTGACTTATTTCGCTCAGCATAATGTCCTCCAAGTTCATCCACGTTATGCGGTGTTCTGCAGATTCTACATTATTCTTTAGCGTTGCATAGTATTCCATTGTGTGAATGTACCAAAGTTTGGTTATCCATTCCTCAGTTGTTGGACATCTAGGTTGTTTCCAAGTTTTGGCTATTGTAAATAGTGCTGCGATGAACATCGGCGTGCATATATCTGTTCTTGTTATGGCTCTCACTTCTTTAGGATATATACCTAGTAATGGGATGGCTGGGTCAAATGGTATTTGTATTTCCAACTTTTGAAGGAATCGCCATACTGCTTTCCACAATGGTTGTACCATTTTACAGTCTGTGGGTCTTTTTTAATACCACTTAGGATATAAATACAAATTATAACTATTTTGGGGAAATGGTTTAGGTTATTTTTAATAGTTTATTTTTATTTAAACATATTTCTTTATTATATAAATTTACAAGGTTTTAAAAAGAATAAAACTCATAAAATAATTAAAAATGAATTTAATCTTCTCTAATTCCACTCTTCTGAGATAACTATTAGTAACATTTTGATATTAAATTCTCAGACTGTTTTTTTACATAAAAGAACTAACCCCAAACTCACTGCCGTCGAGTTGGATCCAACTCATAGCGACCCCTCCTTGGGTTTCCGAGGTGGTATCACTACGGAAGTAGATTGCCCACCCTTCCTTCTGAGGAGTGGCTGGTGGGTTTGAACTGCCAGCCTTCTGGTTAGCAGTCAAATGCCTTAGACAAGCACATGTAAATATAAAAATGTAAACATCATGTGTTGAGGGAGGGACAGTGTTTTGCTAGGTCAGTAACTATAGTTCTACATTATACTGCTTAATAGCTACATAGTATTTCATTGCTTTTTTGTGTGTGCTTTCTGTGCAAATTTACAGAGAGAATTTTATATTGAACAGTTGGTGTACATTTGGTTTCTCTAGTGAATATTTTAGATTGAAAATATATTGACAAACAAAGCAAAACAACTTACAGAATTTTACTTTGTGATTTGTGAAGATTTTGAGGAAATACAAAATAAGTGTTACACTAAAAAATATGTAACATT